CAGATCACAGCAGTATAGAGTAAATCGTGGCCAGGTTTAATTTATTCGTTTCTTGTTTTAGTTAGGCATTGGAAGCGAAATTATACAGTGCCTCACATTTGACTAAAATAAAAGAATTCATTAAATACGCAACAATTTCTTAATTAGTGAACAGATATTTCTTTCCCACCTAGTTCTCCGTCAAAATAAAGGACAGGTAACGAATAACAACGTAGGCCTATGTGCATGACAAAAATGTATGCTGTTTTATTAAAGAAATTTTAAAATATAAATTAATAATGTATTTGTGACAAATATTAAGTAATGTGAGAATATTAACATTTAGCATAATAATTAATGTATGTAGCCTAGGCTACAACTTTTAATGCTCCAATGCAAAGTAAACAACCATTTCTTTAAGGTAATATAACACATGATTCATATTATATAAATAATGCTGCACACCTGTTAAATGTTTCAAATCTAAAATATGGTAATACTTAGCTTAGCGTAAATGCAAGCACAGGCTCATTGACATTTATCTTGCTTGAATTTGTTCTAAATGAGAAACGCACATAACTTCATAAGTACTAAATTTGGCATCTGTGAATATTAAATATTTTAACTACAGTTTTTTTTATTTCATTTTCCACCGACTGCAGCCGTCAAACGTAACACATCGGTGAGGCAAAGCTGACGGCTATTTGTGAAAATGCACTTTGAAGCAGCATTTACTTGATAACTTCTGGTTAAAGCGCCACTCAGCGGTCAAAAGCTGCAAAAGCATTTTGTAGACGCGGCAGCGCCCGTGGCGGTAAAAAGCACAATCTGGTTGTCCACCTACTGTAGAGAATTTTTTTATAGTTATTGGTGTGTTACATGTGTCTACCGAATTTCATACCTGTACGTGAAACGCAGCTTGAGGGGCACTTCGTTGAAATTTTATAGGTGGCGCTATGGAGCCATTTTGCCAAGGCCAATTCTGAAACCCATATAAGATGTAAATTTTTGCCAATTCTCGCACCATCGGTGCTCGGGCCCTAATAATAATCCTTAAAATAACAATAGGGCCCTTAGCCCCTAGTGGGTTGGGCCCTAATAATCATCGTGTTGATATTGTCAAAGGCATCATCCGTGAGCCCTCACTGCTGTGATTAGTCCGATAGCGCAGTCCTTTGTGATTGGTCCAGAGCTGTAGAGATTGGCTCTGGATTGGTCTATGGCGTACAGCGCGTGTCGGAAATTAAATGCCCATTGCCATGACAGAATGACAGCCCTGGAGACTTGTCAATACATAGAAAAGATGGTATCGATTGAACCTTACCTGATCGACAAGAGATTGATTCGCAAGCACGACTGGAGCAGGACGTTTCTCAGTGGTAAGTGTGAAGTGTTAACCAGTTTGTGGTAATTATAAGATGTGATAAACAAATCTACTCTCACAGCGTAGGATACAGCGTCTTCTCGACATGATGTTAACCACACTGAAATTTTACTGTTTGTGGGCGGGCAAGTTGGCGACGTAGAACGTGGGCAGACATTATGCGAATGTGTTACTTCGTGACCTATAGGACTGTCGCGGTGAAGGAATTTCCGGTATGCGGTATTATCGCCATATATATATATATATACACACACACACTGTATATATGTATATATATATATATATATCAGAATCAGCTTTATTCGCCAAGTGCGCGCAAACACAAGGAATTTTTATTTTTATTTTTTTTAAGTGCTCCTGGTACATACATGCATACATACATACATACAGTACATACGTACACATCTGACATGAGAACAGAAAAAAAAACATTTAAAATAGTAAAACTTAACAATAAATAATGTGTATGAATCTGGAACAGTAGATTTATGTACAGATTGGTGTTGAAAGCGGAGCTGAAGTCCACAAACAAGATCCTTGCACAAGTCTCTGGTTTGTCCAGATGTAGTGCAGTCCCATATTGACTACATCATCCACAGACCTGTTTGCTCGGTAAGCAAACTGCAGGGGGT